TTTCTTTGCAACACGTACATTAGAGTTTCATAAGTTAACTTTTTTAATGACAGTTTAGTTGAAGATTATGGGTAAGGCACATATTGTAAAACACCATGAACATTCTCCCATGACCCTCCAAAACACAAATCTATCCAAACATGATCAACATTAGATGATTTCATTCTAAAAATTATAAATTATTACTAAACAAACGAGCTATAAATAGATATCATCACTACTTAGAGAAAAACATACCTTATTAAGTGATAGTTGATAATTTGGGAGAGAAATCATTGAAAATTTATATAGAAATAAAATTATGTAAAAAAATAGAGATGGGGAGGATGTCGTTGGATATAGGAATGGATGTCGCCGAGAGTGATAGATGGAGATGGAATGAGTTGCGATTTAGGGATTAGGTTATGAGTGATGCTGCGTTGTTATATACCCAAAACATTTGTGTTGCGAAACTAAAACCTATTGCGAAATTAAATTCGCGTTGCGAATTTGAAATTTAGTTGCGAATTTGAAATTCAGTTGCGAATTTGAAATTCAGTTGCGAATTTTTGATCACTGAGGTTATTTTCTCTAAATAAAAAATAACACAAGCAATTTTAGAGTTGTTCAAATTTCTTAATGAAGTCTACATCCATTATCTTAGTTTATACATTTTAGGACAATGTGTAACCTTACAACACACTTAGGCTTATACCTCAAAGTCTTAAGTGTACAACCCTTACCAAGAAGAAATTAAAAATAGCAAACTTTGAAAAATCTTTATAAGGAGTGTGTTTGCACAATTCAAAAACAAATAAAACACTTTAGAGAATAAAATAAAGAAGTATACGAGTTTTCTTGAAAGAAAAATAATTATTTAAGAATGTTGACTTAAATTTGTTTTTATTTGATTTATCAGGCTTTTTGTGATCTCTTACCATTACACATGACTTGGAATTTTACTTTTATATCCCTCACTCAATTCTAGTTGTTTGGGTAGTTGTGAAAGTTAATAGAGTTGTTGGGATGAAATTTTCTCGCCATAAATGTTTCTCAAACACTTGGAGTATTAAGACTCGGGCTTGGAATATCGATACTACTTGCATTAATTACAAAACATAGCCGTGGAGAAACCGAGGTATCGGTACTAATCAAAGAGAATATATATACTACTAGTATAATTAGTATCAATATTGCATGAAGAATCGGTACCAAAATAGCATACTGGAATTTAAAATTATAAAAAATATAAGGGTAGCATCACTACTACAATATGGAATATTTATACTATTGTTATAAGTAGTATCAGTATTACATTAGTGTTGATACTAATTTTGCTTATTATTTTTGCAAAATAAAATAGAGTATCGATACTATTGTTTATTTTTAAGTTTTCAGCACCGATACTCATCAATATCACATGGATAATATTGATATTGTTCTTGTAGTATCGGTACTACCATGTTTAAAAATAATTGTTTACTCGATTAAAATTTGAAAATATGAAAAAAAAATTGTTTCAAAAATATTTCCAATATATGACTCAATTTTTCAATAAAAGAAAATAATATAATTTTTAACCTTGAAAAGAATTTGTATATTCAAATGACTAAATCAAATATAATCTTAAATTTTATTAAATATATTAATTATTTTTAGTAAGAATATAAAAGTGTATTCAACAAATACCTTTCTCATTTTCCAAAAGAAAATCTCATTTCCCAAAGTGAAAAACCTTATATATACAACACTATTAACAAATAAGTGGAGGAAGGTAGGAACAAAAACAATAATAAGTAATATATTTTTCTATTCTTCTAGTTTAGTTTCATCTTTCTTAATCATATAATGATTATAATGGCTAATATAATGACTATGTTGGTTGTAGATCTTGCCAGCACCCTTTCTTTTGATATGACTTATAATTTTTCTCTTCATCTATTTTTATATGGTTCGTAGTTCATGTAATTAAGGTCTTTTAGTTTTAGAATTATACTTTTGAAAACATTCAACATGAGCATGAGAAACACACAAATATAATAGAGGTCAAAAACATTTATTAAGTTGTTTATTTATGTTATTTTAGATAATTAGTTGAGATATAAAAACTAAATGTTATATTTAATATGTATATGATTAATGTTTATTATTTTTAATTTTTCTATTTTAAATTTTATGTATCTTAGCAGGGAGAACACCCAAAGGATAGATACTCTTTGATATTAAAGTTTGTAACACCCTAATTTTATCAAGATAATTTAAATCGAATTGAAGGAGACCGGTAACCAATTTGAAGATGATTCGTGTGTCGAGATAGAATTTCTCCAAGCAGTATCGGTGGCATGAGTGAAAATAATTGGGGAACTTCGAAAGATTTCAAGCAGTATTGCTTGTTTGGGTGGGTGAGCATACATGGAAAGACTAAATATATTATTTAACAGTCCAGCAAACCCAAGTATCAGTTCATTACATGCCCAAAATCCATACTAATATTAACCCAAAATAAAATAAAAACCATTTAAACAAAACAAAAAATATGTCCATGTCCATTTATACATAGTATTATCCATTCACACTTAACCCACCATTACAATACCCATTTACATCACCCAAACTTTGGTGCCTCTAGAAACTTCTTCAGAGAGTCTCATCAACAATTCATTCAAAAAATAATAATAATAGAAAGATAGAAAATGTAATTTTCAATTTTCTTTCAATTCAACGCTGAAAAAAAAGAGATTTTCTAGTTTTTTTCTTCTTTGTAACAGTGGGATGATATAAAAACCCACGAAGAACCATTTTGTAAGGGACCTCTCCTGCCATTCGAACAAGCAATAAAAACGAGGTTTTTCCCCCCAATTTGTAAGGGATCTCACCTTGGAGTGGTGTTATGGAAGAGATGGAAAACTTGTTCGTTAAAGTGAAGAATTATTATTATTTTTTGTTGAGTTTGATGCTTTTGTTAGAGTTTGACTCAAATTCAAAGTGACTCAATTATTAAGCTTTATTGGTAGATAAATTATTCAATTAAAATATTAAAATTAATTAAAAATAATTCTCTATCATTTAGTAACACACCCAACCATATCATCACCAATGTAAAGGGAAATAAGATGAAGTATGTGCTACTAAGGAGTTATGAACCAAGGTCCATTGATAAAGTGAAGAATTATTATTATTTTTTGTTGAGTTTGATGCTTTTGTTAGAGTTTGACTCAAATTCAAAGTGACTCAATTATTAAGCTTTATTGGTAGATAAATTTATTCAATTAAAATATTAAAATTAATTAAAAATAATTCTCTAATCATTTAGTAACACACCCAACCATATCATCACCAATGTAAAGGGAAATAAAGTATGAAGTATGTGCTACTAAGGAGTTATGAACCAAGGTCCATTGATGTCCCTAACCAAGCCTTAACCACTAGGGTAAATGCTACGTTTGGTATATTGCAAACTTTTTTATATATTTTGTTTTAGATTATTTCACACATACACATATATATTAAATTATTGAAATAAATCTAATAAATAAATTATATTTTTACACACATATAATTATAGTTAATGTAAGATTTAAAAATAAAAATGAGTTTAATACTTTTTATATTTTTAAATTAAATTATTTTTCTTTCTTATAATTGTCTTGAAATGATTGTAAATATAAAGCAAACGAGAAATAAATTTTTTAAAAAAATTGAAAACAAAAAGTTAAGATTTAGATTATAAATTTATTTTATGATTTAAGTTGTTTGTCTGGCTTTTGATTCTCTAATGAATTTTTAATATAGTTTATATATAATAATTTAAAAATAATTGTGACAATTTTAGTTTAATTTAAAAATATAAAGTTATTAAACTCATTTTTTATTTTTAAATCTTACATTAACTATAATTATATATGTGTGAAAAATATAATTTATTTATTAGACTTGTTTCAATAATTTAATGTGTGTATGTATGTATGTATGTATGTATGTATGTATGTATGTATGTATGTATGTATGTATGTATGTATGTATGTATGTATGTATGTATGTATGTAGGTATGTATGTATGTATGTATGTATGTATGTATGTATGTATGTATGTATGTATGTATGTATGTATGTATATGTATGTATGTATATGTATGTGTATGTATGTATGTATGTATGTATGTATGTATGTATGTATGTATGTATGTATGTATGTATGTATGTATGTATGTATGTATGTATGTATGTATGTATGTATGTATGTATGTATGTATGTATGTATGTATGTATGTATGTATGTATGTATGTATGTATGTAGTATGTATGTATGTATGTATGTATGTATGTATGTATGTATGTATGTATGTATGTATGTATGTATGTATGTATGTATGTATGTATGTATGTATGTATGTATGTATAAGAGTTACTAAGAGTTACTATTTGGGTACTTAGAGACATAAAAGACAAAATTGATAATGAAGTAAGTTAGTTATATTAATTTTTAATAATTTAGGTGATTATAATATAATATATGTTTTAAAAAAATTTAATCAATTGACAATGGTATACACCCTGTAGATATAATTGTCTGAATTCAAAATCTTTTATTTCATCACTCTAATCACATGATGAGTTTTAAGTAGTTTATATTAATTAAGATCAAAAAAGAAGATTACATAATTGGTAGTTCTGTAGTATAATAACCTAATTTAAAATTAAAAATAACATAAAATAGAAAAATGTAAACTAAAAATATAACAAAAAACAACATTTTACGTTATCAATGGAAAATATAAAAAAATAACATTTTAAACTATAACCATTCAACAATATTATACTATTTCTTCGTTACATATATTCTCTGCTGATCCTTAAATTAGGCTCTCTCTTTGTACATGTCCTTACATAATATAATAGCTCAACGTACAGCTTGCACATAGTTATATCTTTCAGGCCTATCAAAATCGGCCGCGTGGCTTTCCCCATTCGTTTCAATTTCTAAAAAGTAAATACCGAAAACACAAATGAAAAAACTTCAATTTCCACCGTCTCTTCCCCGCTGCCCATCATCCGATGTGGATTGCCACCGGAGTGCACCCACCAGTTGTCCCGGTTCCCTTGCTCTTAACCTCTCATCTATCTCCCAAACCCCAAACCCTACGTTTCGGTTTCCCCTTGCCGTCACTGAAAGTGAAAGTTTCAGCCACGAAGAAGCAGTTACAGACACGGAGGCCAGGTCCTTTATCTATTTATTCATTTTTGGCTTATTGACTGGATAGCCTCATATTCAATCAACGGGTAAGATTTTGTGGGTATTAACTGTTATCTGACTTGGGTTTAAATTGCAGATAAAGGAGATCTGCCGAATGAAGAGAAAGGCAATGGTCAAAGCTCTGATGTGGGATGGCGTCCTGCTTTCCCTCACGTTTTGGTGGCTTCAATGTCCAATTTCCTTTTCGGCTATCACATAGGGTAAGAGTACTCCCCTTGAGGAAGTAAATCTTGTGGAGCTTACTTAAGCTCTTATTGATTTTACTATATATATATATGCTTTCTAATTAGTTGCCCACTCTATAGATTTTGAGGAATTGGAAATTAGACACTGAAATATTATTCTTTAATGCATAAACCTGCTTGTGAAGTTTAAAATTTTTATTGGCTATGTATGGAAGGAATTCATATGCCTGTACTCCTAAAGTACCCATATCCAACACTTGTCTCAGACATAGGCATGGGATGTCATTATTGAAATATACAGCAGGAACAAATAGAAAAAAATTGTTATACGGTCGGTTTATACCCATGTTGGACACATGTATCCAATACTCACCTCCAAGTCCTGATAACATAAGTGTAATTTGAGAGCTAATGTTAGTTTAAAGCATAATTTGGTTGGAACTTGGAACTTTGAAGGATTGATTTGTCAAAGAGTTTTAGTTCACAAGGTTACTTTCTTTGTTCTATAGAGTAATGAATGGTCCGATCATTTCAATTGCAAGAGAACTTGGTTTTGAAGGAGATCCAATTCTTGAGGGGCTTGTGGTGAGCATATTCATTGCTGGAGCTTTTATTGGAAGCATAAGTTGTGGCTCAATGGTGGACAAACTTGGCTGTCGCCGGACTTTTCAGATTGACACAATACCATTGATTCTTGGCGCAATTGTGAGGTGAGAATAGCATATACACATTGTGCAATCCAAATGACGCATTTTATCTCTTATCTATACCAAGTGAAACTGAGTTAGTTCCAAATTGGCATAGATGGCTATGGAGTTATTGAACATTACAATAACCATTTTTGCATTCGCTAGACGTTAATTTCTTTTGTATGGTTCACATCCTATCTCTATTTATCATGGTGTGATTTGTAGGACGCATGTTATACCTGCTGCTTTTATTTTATCTGTTTGAAAGTGTGTTTATAAATGCAAAACAATTTATATCTTAACCCTTCAAATGCTTTTTTTTTTGATAGGAATAGTAGGTCTCATTAAAAACCTCCTTCTTAGTAGTCCTTTACCATGAGGTTAGAACTGACTAGCGGAAGGAGGAAAAGAGTACCTCAATATATTGACTTCAAAAAAAGATTACATAAGACTTAAACCACTCGTTGAAGATACATAAGACTTAAACACACTCATATAACACCCTCGGAATAAAACCTCTGAACCTAGTACAACAAAGTGAACCACTACCCAATCCCCTCCTTAGCTAGCAAATCTGCCTCGCTATTACAACTTCTCGGAATCCACCTCACAATGACTTCATTCTCAGAAACCGCATCCGCAATATCCTTAACAAACTTAAAAAGATAAAGTGGAACTGACTCCTGAAATTTCAACCAATCGACGGCTAACTTGCAATCACTTTCAATAATAAGCCTACCCTTCAATACCCATTCTGATGCCACAAAGATGTCTAAACCTCTTTTGATAGCTTTCAACTCTGTCAAAATGATAGGACTAGAACCTAATTTTTCTGAGAACGACATAAGCTTGACCCGATTCCAATCTCTTAGAATTCCCCCAATTCCAGCTAACATCCCAACAGAACTCACAGCTCCATCCACGTTAAACTTAAAAAAATCGACTGGAGGAGGACTCCAACAAAGCACAGGCCTGTTAAAATCCATAGTGGCTGAAATTTTATCAGCCAATGAAGGATCCCCAATTAAAGAATCCACTTGGATAGAGAGTAAAGGATACTTAGCGAGGAACCATTTCGCTAACCTTAACCTAACTGTTAAAAACAGTGAGGATGAATCCAGCTTACCTCTTTCAAAAATAATTTCATTTCGCATCTTCCAAATTGACCATAAAACATCCCCCGAGATAAACTTCCACATATTAGAATAAGGCCTCAGAACAAACCATGAATTTAGAACTGAAGACGGATCAGCAGGTAAGGCTAACTTGATACCCCAATAACCTATGATTCTGTTCCATAATACCCACGAAAACTGGCAGGAAATAAACAGGTGCTGAACTGATTCTTCAACTTGATTGCAAAAGGGGCATTGAATGTCCTTCCCTAAAGGAACCCCCTTTTCTTCAATTCCATTCTAACCGCTAATTTATTAAGTGATACTTGCCAAAGGAAAACCTCTGCTCGAGGAGGAACCAGACCCTGCCAAACACATTTAGTCCACCTAAAGGGATCCTCATCAGCTGAGTAGAATGATTTCGTGCAAGCTTTGACAGAATATAACCCCTCACCCACATCGTCCCAAAGCATACAATCCTCCAAAGAATCATTTAATTTAATATCCTTGAGCCTATCCAATAATTCAACCAGTTGAACCACTTCCCAGTCACATAAATTCCTCCTAGTCTTAATATTCCACTCCTATCCATTCGATTCAAAGCTACCAAAATCAGCAACCTTACCCTCTTGATTAAATGAAAGGGCAAAAATCCTAGGAAAAAGAAATTTCAAAGGAAAATCCCCCAACCATGTATCATTCCAAAAGGAGATCGAATTTCCATTCCCAACTTGTAGCCTCGCATGTGATCTAATGCATCCTCCAATGAAATCATCCTTCATGTAGCTATTCACAATACCTCTCCAAATCCAAGAGTTCTTGTGAGATAAGACTTTGTTGACATCCATAGAGTTACAACTAACACTATGTTTAGAACATATGAAATTCTTCCACAAGGAATCTTTATCATTTGCAAATTTCCAAACCCACTTTCCCAACAAAGCTCTATTAGTAAATTTCAAATCAACGACTCCTAGACCACCTCCACTCTTTGGTTTACAAATCTTATTCCAACTCACCCAATGCATTTTCTTCTTCTCCTCCCCTCCACCCCATAAAAAATTCGCCATCAAAGAGTTTAATTTTTGACAAATCTTAGATGGAATCTTGAAAATAGAAAGATAAAAGATAGGTAAGGAGGATAATACCGACTTAATAAGCACCAATCTACCGGCCATGGACAAAGAGGAAGCTTTCCATCCCGCCAATTTCTTATCAAAGTTGGCAATTACCGGCTCCCACAGTTTTTCACAATTCCTTTTAGCTCCTAACGGAAGGCCTAAATATACCGTCGGAAAGGTACCAATAGAGCAGCTAATGTCCTTAGCCCAATTTCCAAGGATGTCCTCCTCCACATTAATACCATAAAGTTTGCTTTTAACTAAATTAAGATGAAGCCCCGTCATAACACTAAAAATCATCAACACTCGTCTAACATTTTTAATTTGAGTGACGGAGGCTCGGCAAAAGATAATTAAGTCGTCAGCAAACTGGAGGTGAGTCAAATTGAAACTGTTTTGAATCTTTCCAAAAGAAAACCCTTGAAATAAGCCTAAATCCACAGCTTTAGTTAACATCATATGAAGAAGTTCACCAACCACATTAAACAAAAGAGGAGAAAGACTGCATCCTTGTCGCGAACCTTTCGCAATATGAAACTCTTTTGTAGGAGACCCATTCAGTAAAACAGATATTGATGCTGTGGAAATACACTGCTCAATCCAAGAACACCACCTTTCTCCAAAACCCATCTCCTTCATAAGCCTTAACAAAATCTGCCAATCCACAATGTCATATGCTCTGCTAAAATCCACTTTAAAAACAACCCCCTGTAGCCCTTGTTTCCTCCAATAATCGATGCCACACTGTAGGAAATCAGATTGCGATTGAGACAACTGCTTAAAATCAAAATTCAGTCCCTCAACTTCCAGTGTTGTTTTCTCATTGTAGGCATTCTTGAAAAAATTAAACACACTGTCTTTTATCTGTTCTGGATCCGAGATTAAATTGCCTTTAAATTTGATAGAGTGAATAGAGTTGATTCTATTCCTTTTCATAGCACTCAGGTGTAAAAACCTTGTATTCCTGTCGCCATCCTTAATCCATCTATTTCTGGATTTTTGAAACCAAATTCTCTCCTCGATCCTTAACAGTCTCCATAATTCCTTTTTAAGTTCAATCAATTGGTCCCATTCCCCTACAGACAAATTTCCACCTTGACACTTTAAGTCCAAACTGTTAATTTTAATTTCCAGCAACGAAATGGACTCTGCCAGTCCTAAATGTCTACTTCCAGACCAGTTCCTGATTTTATTTTTTGCACCCTGCAGCATTCTGAAAACTTCCAGACCAGTTCCTGATTTTATTTTTTGCACCCTGCAGCATTCTGAAAATTCCCCACTATTATTCTTCTTTTCTTCTACTTCCAGGGAATCAACAACTAAGTCATCAAAACCCTGTTCTTCTAACAGAAAATTAAAAAACCTAAAAGGTTTTGGACCCCAATTTGTAGATTTATCCTTCAACAAAACTGGATTATGGTCTGAAATAGATTTCGGTAAAAGAAACTGCACAATGTTAGGGAAATTCTTAAGGAATCTTGCACAGATTAGGAACCGGTCTAGTCTCACCCATGTTGAATTTTCTCTATTGCTGCACCAAGTGAAAGAACCTCTTGACATAGGTAAGTTAATAAGGTTGGCATTTTGCACAAATGACCTGAAAATATCGATAGTATGCCAATTTTGTGACTTCCCTATCTTTTCTTCCGAATCAAGATACGCATTGAAATCTCCCCCTAGACAAACTGGTAAATTTCGAGCTCTAACAAAATTCAACAGCTCCCCATAAAAATCCTCCTTCTCAGCTTCAACTGAAGGCCCATAAACATTGATAACTACAAACTCCATTGTACCATTCTTATATTTTCCCACTAACGCCAAAAACCTACTATGCACATATTGATCTATGACATGAACCACACTGTCATTCCACAAAGAAATCAGACCCCCCGAAGATCCCTGTGCTGGAGAGACCAGCACCCCCTTTAACAAGTTGCCCCCTATCTTTCTTAAAATCGACCCATGACATCGTTCCAACTTGGATTCTTGTATGAAAAGAAAAACTGGTTTTGACTTCTTGACCAACCTTGATACAGCTACACACTTCTCCCTCCTCCCGAGACCCCTAATGTTCCACGAAATAATACTAAAATTATTCATAAAAAAGGAAATACACCCCCTACAGTCAGCTAATACTGACCAACCATCATCCTCCCCTTACTTCATCTATCTCTTGGTCAAGACTTGATAGTTTTTCAATAAAAGCCTCCTTCCCTTCCTTAAATGAAATTCCTAACATCTCACATACTTCCCAAGTATCCAATGCTTCCTTCAGCAATTCCGAAAAAGAGGATGAAGAAACAGTCGAATTATTAACCAAATCAAGAGCTTCAGAAATTAAAGCTCTCCTCTTCCTTCTATTTTCATAACCTTTCCCTGAAGCAGTCACAGTTGTAGCTTCCGCCCTCTCAACGACAGCACTACGAACGATAGGGATCATAGATGTATTCTGAGGATCGACAGAACAATTGATGTCCTTATCTTGTCCACCTCCAATAATAGTACTTGAAAACTGCTGATTTCTTCTTCTAAAGTCAGAAATGTTCTGCTTAATCTTCGGAGCAGCCATAGGGCGAAAGTCATCATCTTCAATTGCTGAACACAACCATATTCTTCTATCTCTTGACCTTTTATAAACTCGAGCATAGCGTCCTCTCCCCCTTCTACCATTAGGAGCACTCCTAATTGACAAACATTTAGACACAGACAAACCCCGGTTCAAACGCTTGGAAAACTTCACATTGACTGCACTGTTTTCCTTTTGCATCGATGTTCCTTCTACTAGCTTACCAAGAACAATACCGTCAACTTCCTGATCCCCCTCTTTATCTTCTTCTCCTGATACACTTCTTTCTTCTGCAATTAATTCATACAGATTCTGCAACTTTTCTTGATTTGCTAACCTGGCCCACTTCAACTTCACAACAGGGCCATCTGGTATAATTTTAGTGATAGGAGAATAAGACTCCCAATTAGAATCCGAATGGGCTGGAAGACTCTGGTCCACATCCTCTCTCAGCCCAAGGCCCGCATAATCCCCACTGTGATTTAATTCAAATTCAAATTTTTCTGACACCCCATTATTATTGGGCAGTGTGTGTCAGACTTCTTTTTCAAAAGATGTTCCCCACTTTCTTCTGACTTCACCCTCTCTTGACTATTCTGAAGCCACATGTCAACCTTTGACCAGAATCCTTCTACTGAGTTCTCCCTATTGTCTTCTTCCTTCTCTGTGTTTCTACCATCATCCCCCTTTGACACATCGTCATTGCAGCTGCCATATGAAAAACTCTGCCTCACGACTCCATTATCTTTCGAGATAGATTTAGAATTGGATCCCACATTAATTTTAACTTTAAACGATCTGCCATAAGATCCTACAATAACAGATTCTTGAACATCAAAAGGGCTAGCTACCCTTAACAACATTCTAGCCGAAGAGAGGTCATCTCTGTTTCTTGTTTCCTCGAGGATACTAACAACCTTTCCCCACTTGCCCCCAAGCTTCTCCAGGAAAGGAACACTCCAGCTAAGAAGTGGTAAACCAACCAATTCGACCAAGCAATAGGCCAAAGGGACTCCATCTTCACTCAACAGTGGATCTACCCAATCAAACCAGCAGAAGAGTTTCTCTCTAAGACTCGACCACGCCTTTAAAAACTCTTCATTTGTATTGAATATAATAATGCAGGCGTTCCTAACATAACCCCACCTTACTATCTTGACCTGGAATCCCTCCTTTGCCAAAAATCGCAACACCATATCAGGCTGAAAGGTATTTTTAAGAACCCCTGTTAAGGAATTTTTCACCCAGCAGAAGTCTTCTGATAAGTACATACATCAGAATCATTATTTTGTTACTTGTTCCCTTGGAGGAGAGCTGCTAGAAATGATTTATATTTTTGTATTTGTATTTAGTTTTACTTGACTTCCAAAGTACTCAATGCTTCTTACATGCAACGCTCTTAGAATCTGGACTCTATATAGAAATATGTTTTACTTGAACAGTTTTTTATTTTTATTTTTATTATATTATTATAATTATTTTGTCATAATTGACTCTTTTCAATTTTGACAGTGCGCAAGCACATTCCTTACATGAAATACTGCTGGGAAGATTTCTAGTTGGCCTTGGTATTGGTGTGAACACAGTTCTTGTTCCAATTTATATTTCCGAGGTACTGCTTCATGATATGTGTGCCGGCTTCTAGGTTTTGAATTTTATTTATGCCTCATAACATCTGGAATTTCCCTCTTAGTTGAAATTGGAGCAAGGGGGTTTTTAATCCTCTTTACTCTTAAAATGTTAAAAAAAAATTCCACTGCCTTTTCTTCTTATTTTACCCTAAACTTACCGTGTATAATGTATGTAAAAGGAGTAAAAGTGGGAATTCAGTAGTAAAAAAATATTTTACATAAATTGTCATTGGCTGGTAAACGTTTGGAGATATCGTATTATGTTGTCAGCTTTCTGTAGGTTGACCATCTCATTCTGCTCTAATTAATGACTATAGAATGTGATTTAGGTACGTTTAACGCATTAAATTGGTAAAATGAACAGGAAGAATGTAACAACCTAAACCCGATTGTGCCTAAAGTGCCACATTGGTTACCAAGGCAACCCCTGATCCTCAAAATCTGTTCATTTTCTTTTCAAATGTACTGAATGGTATCATAATAAATAAACTACTGTTATAAAACATTTTTACAAAACGGAGCTCTGAGACGCATGATTTAAATCAAAATAATACATCTTGAAGTTTACAACTCAAATACACAAGTAAGGTTCTATGAATACACATGTCCACTAAAGCTACAATACTCTGTCGGAGATGCTGGAAGTCTTACGGTGACGGTGCTCCATGAATTGCTCAAGCTACAGACCTACCGACGAAAAACATCCGAAGGCTGAGCTTACAAAGCTTAACAACATAATCGCTAATCTAGAGCGGCATAAGAATTCCATAAACTAAAGCATGCTAGGGACATAGTACTAAGTAGTAGGTACAAGCATGATTCCAATCAGAGCTACCTACGTAAGGTCCTCTAGTTCTATCTCTCGAATCTACGTCTCATGCTTCCCTTAGTCTTTGCTAAGGGCCCTGCCATGAGTATACAAGTACTAAGTCTCTAACCTCATTATCATCCTATAATGCATCACATGCCAAACACAATGACGGTACCCGGTATCACAGAGACGTCGATACTATCACTCAACAATAAGTAAGCATCGTCGTGTAGCTCGAGGTCACATAGCATCACGGAACTCACACCTCTGTTTGCTTAATAGAGGTACCTTGGGTAGACCTAGGTCACACAACATCAACATCTCCCAAGTATCTCAGGCGAGGTCCGGGTCACATAGCATCAGCACCTCCCAATACCTTAGGCTAGGTTCGAGTCACACAACATCGCCACCTTGCCTGGCTAGACCACTCATCTTGAGTACTCGGAACGTGTCTGGGTCCCATAACATCAATACCACATTCAACTAGCAACTAAAGTGCATCTTGCACTGACTTGGATATATCCGGATATTATATGCACACAAGAAGACCGTCCTACTGCTAAAGTAACTCGGGTGTCCTCATCGTTGCTCGATTAACACACAAAGATATAAGACTTATGGAATCTTACCTCATAAGGCTTTTATGGCTATCACACAATTAATGTTATTATCTCATTATTATTACAAGGCTCTCATCTAGAGCTACGCCTTAACACATGTTAACTAACGCCACACTGCAGTAGGCGAAGTAGCTCGATCACTCGCTACTGAACTCATTAAGTCAAGTGAGGTCATATCCCCTTCACCCGAGACTATCCCACTCGTCCTCTGCCTAGGACGTTATGAGAGGGGTATATACTTATGGGGTATTTTACTCATTTCTACCTCCGGAGAGGTCTCTAAGCATTTCACAATTTCCCGATGATTATTGTGCTTGCAGTACACTGACTGATTCATTGGTTAGCCCGAACCTAACTCGAGCTCGTTATTGGGTAACAACACTCCTAACGCTCTTATTGTACTTCTCCCAATACCCCTTGAAGTAGTGGAACGACTTATCCATTTTCGGTTCACTGACGTTCTCGAAGCACCACGCTCTTCGTCGATACTGAATCTGACATGTTTATCGTACCGTTCATTGGGTATCTCATGTACTGATCCTTAATCCCTACTATACGTATATGTCCTCAATTGAAGATATTTTAGTGTATTACGCTTAATATGGTTACACCCAATGTAACCTACTCCTACGAGCGTTTTTTTAGGTATGTTGGGTCATTTACTTCCCTCACGGACTAAGTCTTACTATTACGGATCGTCCTTAGATCTTACGGACCTTAAACGGGTCAAAATAACATTCAACAACACTTAGGACCTTTAATGAATGCAAATCCATCCTTGTTCATCGAGCAAAACAGAGAAGGGATCGATCCTTTTGAAAAGGGATCGATCCTTTGCTGGACAGAAACTTTGGGATCGATCTCTTTGGTCGAGGGATCGATCCTTTTTCTGGGAATGACTTGCTTAAGCTCGGGAATCACTCAAAAATCACCCCAAACGACATGGGTTGGTTTCTAAAGTTATTCAAAAGCTTTAGTAAGTTATTTAGGGTCATTAGGCATCATTAAAACAAGTTGTTAACACCTAAAACGTGATTTGGTTGAGAAATCAAAGAGGAACCCTAAAATGCTCCATCATTCAAATCTTAGCAAACACCAAGAATTTATGAAAATTTAATACTCTAAAGGATTAGATATACACTACATTGAATTTAGAAATCCGAAATGAAGCTCCTTTTTCTATCAAGCACCTCCTTTTTGACTTTGGTTGATTTTTTCACCATTTTTCTTCAAACCAAAATGAAGACAAATATTCTTACCATAAGATGGAAAATGATGAAGATTAGGAACAGATTTGAAGCTGAAGAAGGTAAGGAAGAAACCTCAATCACTCATCTTGAGCTAAGCACTTGCTATGGAGGAAGGAAATGGAGAAAGAAAGAAGAAATGAGGAAGATATGAGAAAATGAGAGAACCCCACGTGAAAGCTTGATATAAAACCCTAAAATCCGCTTCCAAATTCCTCAATGGTCTAATTGCACTTTTGGTCCTTCCTATTTTGTCTCATATTCAAAAATATTCCTTTTTATAGCTAATTGGGCCCCAAAGCCAACCCAATTAAGCCCAACAACTTAATTTATAATTTTACATAGTCCACTTACCTCTCGGGTAAACCCGAAACTACTAATCCATAATTTAGGGTGTTAATGTTTTTGCTTGACAAAACTTGCTGCTGCTTCTATGGAATTTTAGGAGAGAATATTCCGTTTTATATGTTATCCATTTTCTGTTCATTCCCTGTAGGTTGCCCCAACGAAATACAGGGGTTCACTGGGAACTTTGTCCCAAATTGGCACTTGCCTTGGGATTATTCTGTCACAGTGTCTTGGAATACCGGCAGAACATGATCCACATTGGTGAGAACCTTTTTCCTCCTTTTGCCTTTTCTCAGAGCAATGGTGGTTGTTGATGACGGAAATATGTTTTTCCTTTTCCTTTTACTTATAACTGTTTGACAACCCTTTTTAGTCTTTTTGTAACAAAGTTGCTGCTCTAGAAACTAAACTTATTATTAGCTGGTAGAGCTGTGAAGAATTTGACCATTAGCCTCGCACCCTTCAAGAAAGTGTTACTCACAAGGACTGACTTCTGTGTCTTCCATCCTCTTGACCTTTAAAAACTCATTACGAATAAACTCAATTATGAATATGCAACATGTAAAACTGGTCATATATAATTTATGTGAGTATATTCGTCAACATGTAAAACTATTGTTGTCCTTCATTTTGTTGGCAATTTTGTTTGATGCAGTATCTTCTCTCAGAAGGTTTTTTTTTATGGGGAACTCCCAGGCATCAGAAGTGTATGTTTTTGTTCTAGTTTAGTACCTATTATATAGGTTTCCTTTATTCTATTGTCAACGTTACTTTGGGGCAATTCCATTTTGTGTATATCTTGTTTCATGCTTTCTGTGTTTTCTATCAGCATAACAAATGCATGCATACAATGGGGGCATTACTTATTCTCTGTGCCATATATGGCAGAACTATTTCCAATCCAATTATTGGTTTTTATTGCTTCAACCTGCTAAAGAATCTTGGAAAAATATGTTTTCCAGGTGGAGGAAAATGTTCTATATAGCAAGTGTACCTGGCTTTCTTCTAGCTCTTGGCATGCAGTTTACTGTTGAGAGCCCCCGCTGGTTATGCAGAGTATGAGCCTTGTTTTCCTTGATACCAAACTCCATATGTATTACTTTCTGGCATGTTCTCTTGAAGCCTAGAATCTTGGCATTTTTGTAGGTAGGGAACATAAAAGATGCTGAGACAATAATCCGTAATCTTTGGGGAGACTCAGAAGTTGACAAAGCGATTGAGGAATTCCAGTCAATTATCAAGAATGATGGCATTGATGTGAATAGCGGATGGTTGGAACTTTTGGAAGAGCCACATTCTCGAGGTTGTATTCTTCTACGTGGTTTCTGCTAAAAGGACATAGCGTCATTCTTAATAATCTCACCTAATAAAAAGTAAATATTTTGAGCTATTCTTGAGGTCCTCTACATTTGCAGTCTTAATAGATTTCTTGATAATCAATTTAGGTTTTATATTGGTGTCAATGTGTAGTTTGGCAATTAGTTCTGACACTCGTTCGGTTGCAGTTGCATTCATTGGAGGAGCCCTTTTTGTTCTTCAACAGTTTGCTGGAATAAATGGAGTTCTTTATTTCTCATCATTGACTTTTCAAGATGTTGGAATTGCCAGTGGTGCTTTGGCAAGTTTATTTGTTGGACTAACAAATTTCGCAGGTTTGAGATCCGGTTTTCGTGTTTGCCAATTTCTGCGTTGTGTGCATAGTTTGTTATAAAAAGCCTCTCAAATTTGTTAACTTGTGGACGTGGTCAGGGGCACTTTGCGCATCATACTTTATGGATACACAAGGAAGGAAAAGGCTTCTCATTGGAAGTTACCTTGGGATGGTAATAAATCCTTATTCTAAGACTAAGTTATTTAGTAATGGTATCAATACTATGGGTGTGTTTAATATAATCTATTTCCAGAAATGTTTTCTGGAAGTTGGGAAGACTTTTCGGGAAAGTAAAGATTTTCTAATGTTTGGTTATTTTTGGAAAATCTACTTCTACAAAAAACAATGTCACAATTATTAAAATATTCAAAGTATTATTAATACAATATTATTACTTAGGATTATTATTTTGGATACTATTTATTCACTATTTTAAAAATTAATGGTATTGATTTATGTATTATAAAAATATTGTTTTTTTTATATTTTTAATAAAAATTTTGACATCAGTATTAAAATATTAGTTGCTTAAATTTTTTATCATTAACCTATTAATTTTTAATATTAATATTTCAAATAGAAGCAAGTTAATAAAAAGATTGAAGTATTATATTAATATTAAGTACTCAAAATAATACTATTTTAAGTATTAAATTAATCGTATAAATAAATATTTAAAGTTTTAAAATATTATAATAATTATTCTGTATTATTTGTATTAATATTTGGTACTATTAAAAGTATTCATATTTTTATATTATAAAACATTTATTACTAGTTATTTACAAATTATAATCCATTTATTTTCTATTAAAATATTACTATAAAGCACATTCCAACAAAATATTAAAAATACTATTTAAAATTTAAAATAATTAGTAATGTTAAATTATATTATTAAAATAATATTTTATTATATTAAATAATTATTTTATTAGAATAATATAGTGTTAATTATATTAGTAATTTATTAATTTAATAAGAATATTTAGTATATATTATCAAAATATAAATATGCACGTGTTATAACATTGAAAAGTATAATATTTGATATTAATATTTTTGAAATTTTTATAAAATTTAAATTAAAACTATATTATGGTATAAAAATATTTTACTCAATTTAAGTTTACTTTTTATATAAAAATCATATTTATTGTAGGGAGTTTTTTTTCCCAAAGTGACTTGTGCTTTTAAAATGAGAAGACAATTTACAGAAAAAAAGGCTTATTTTTTTTGCTGACTTGAAAGTCATTTCCTATTGGCTAAGTTATTTCATTAATCAAACACTGAAAAATTAAAAAAAAAAACATTTCTTGTAAGAGTCATTTTCGGTGAAACAAAGACACCGTACCTTATTTGAAATTGAGAAGTACAAAGTTGAACAAGTAGTTGCTCATGTAGAAAATATGCATTTGTATTAGCAAGTTTACTGCACTTCCAGTCTAAAAGCCTGAATACATAGTGAAGAAACTATAAATTTGCATGACTAATGACTTGTATTAGCATGTACATGCATGAACGTGTGGCTGCACCCGTTTTTTTTTGTAATTCAGTCCAACAGCCATAATTTTGATTTGCACAATGCTAATAATCTAAGCAATGATTATGTACTGTCTAGGGTGTTGTTAGTGAAATTAATTCCTAGGGGCTGTAATTGGGAGGCTGATAAGTTAGCTAAAGAAGGGATTGGTTGATTGTCTGCTGTTTTATAGGTTGTTCCTGCATCTTTTGAGGACAGACTTTTTTGATGTCTTGTAAAGGTTTACTGCTGTATTAATGAAATATCAATAAAATGAGGTACTCTTTTCCTCCTTCCGCTAGTTGTCCCTATCCTTTTGGTAAGGGTCAATTATGAAGGGGTTTTTTAATGAGACCTCCTACTCTTATAAAAAAAAAAAATCTAAGCAATGAACTTTCCTTTTGCAGGCAGTTTCAATGTTTCTTACTGTTTTTGCTATCAATTCCCCATTTGATGAAGATTTCAGTCACAACTTATCAATCCTAGGGACTCTCATGTAAGGACCCCCTCGCGTGCTCAGATTTGAAACCAAATATGCCGACCATTATGGGTTGAACACCCCTGATTGCCCTTTCATATGTTAAAACCCTGGTCTTCATACATGTTATGTGGGACCATACTGATACTTGCATCTCATGTTTCTGGTTTAGTCATGGTTTTCTTACGAAATGCTTTGTTATAGGTACATATTCACCTTTGCAATTGGAGCAGGCCCGGTAACCGGTCTCATAATTCCAGAACTTAGTAGCAGCAAGACAAGGGGGAAGATTATGAGTTTTAGTTTCTCTGTTCATTGGGTATGCGAATTATATTTATTTCCTTTCGAGTAATATATAAAACTCGTTTTAAATGAATCATTTGAAGTAGCTGTGATGATGAAATAGGTTTGTAATTTCATGGTGGGGCTACTATTCCTGGACCTGGTGGAGATATTTGGAGTAGGTGCAGTTTATACCGGTTTTGGCAGCGTGTCATTGGTATCAGCAATTTTCGCTCATTATTTTCTGGTTGAGACCAAAGGCCGATCACTGGAAGAGATTGAAATGTCACTCAAACTCAAACGTGAGAGCTAAAGGTAAAATGACTCAGCATTATGATTCCATGCATTGAATAAATGGTCTGGTACAGTTGAGTGAGCAAGCAGGTCACAGCCACTCCACTGCATATTCATACTAGCTCCTAAGTGAAGGAAACCCCCCAAATCATCAGCCTTATAAAACCTAACATCCCTTTAGTTTTTTTCAGTAACTCCCAAGTAGGGGAATATCATTTATATCACATTGTTTTTTTATCTATTTAAGAAGATAGGTAGAGGACTCGTAGTATTCGGATTTTACCTAAATCATGTCTATACTCTATTTGTTCTAGTTTAAATCCCACCATATGCTAGGTGAAGCCCATCAGGGGACGTTTAGTTCACAAAAGTTAAAATTAACTATGAGAATAAGGTACTTGAATGTAGAATGATTACATTTTATGAACGATCAAATACTAAATGTTAATATGTTCAATTTTTTTAACTTTTTACTGCTCATGATATTTTGGTCTTTAGCTAAGTAATTTGATCTCTTTTTTTTTTTTTGTAATTTGGTGCATGATTTCTTTATTTTTTTTTTCAATTTCTCTTTCATTTTAAGTTTATTTTTGGCCAAATTTAGACAACATGCACCTCAACTTGGCATGATTTTCTTGTTTCTTCCATTCCTTTTTCATTTTAAGTTCATTTATAATCGAATTTAATTCACACGCTCTTATACTATTTTAGAATACATATATAACTTCTTTTTGTAATTTAATCTTTTAACTTTGTATTTGATTTAATTTGGTCATTCGACTACAACTCTTTACATATTCTTTCTCCCATCAATTCATTGACTCCTTTATGTTCTTATCAATAATTTATCCTCAAAGTCCATGCTTTTTTAAAAAATAACATTATAGATATCATATTCTATTTGAATAAAAAATATTAAAAAAAAGAAAATGAAAAAATGTTTATTTGACTGTGTAGATAGAGTTGTTTAAATTGAAATCAATCAATACCATAATATTATAAATGATTATATTTAAATTTAAACAAAATTTGATTAAACATATTTAATTCGTTTTGACTAAAATTTCATAAATTTGACTTACAAATTTCTTAAATGAAATTTGAATGAAAAAAAAACAATGAACACACAATCACCTTGCTGTAACTGGTTGAACCTGACCTTTAGTAACATCAATTTTTTTAACCACTGAGGTAAGTTGGTTCAGGCTTACTCATAATATTTGATCGTATCTAATAAACACATTAAATATTAAAGTATCATTCAAATATAAATAATATTCTTTTTTTATAGAAGCTGCTAATTTTATTAAAAAAATCGTGTATCTAAATTCAATCTGAGGGTTCAAACCATGGAAGATCAACATGATAATAGATAAACATCATCTTGATCAGTCGTGGTGGAGTCAAATATCCCTTAGAGAGATAAATAAAAACAATGGTGAAATGACTGAAAACATATAAAAAAATGTCATAAAGACAGATAAAAATGTGTCATACAAACATATTAATTAAAAATCGAAAAACAAAAGAAAATACAAATACAATATAAAAAAATAAAAGGAGAACAAAATATATCGACGAACAACCACTAACATTGACCAAGTTTGATTCATATAAACGTAATTCTTTATTTTAAGGATAATATGATTCAAAAGGATTGAAATCATGTAATATCTAAGAAATTATTGATAATAGTATTCCTACTATTTATATGTAAAAAAAATGCCAGTGTTGATAAAAGATTGTTATCCCAAACAAAGTTCACTCAAGTCAGACAAAATCTTTTTTCTTTTCAAAAGGTATATATAACATGCAGACAGATCTAAAAATAATTGATAATAGTATTCCTACTATTTATATGTAAAAAAAAAATGCCAGTGTTGATAAAAGATTGTTATCCCAAACAAAGTTCCCTCAAGTCAGACAATCTTTTTTCTTTTCAAAAGGTATATATAACATGCAGACAGATCTAAAAATAATTTTAAGATCAAAAAATATTATTAAGATGAAAGATTATTTATAAGAAATCTTCACAAATCACATACAGACAGATCTAAAAATATTTTTAAGATGACTACATAACATATATATTTTAGATTGTATAAACAATTCATAAAATTTTAAGATAGACAATATTAATAAAATAAACAATTAACAAAAAATAATTCTTAAGATAAACAATTCATTTACGTCTGCCATTGATCAAACGTGATTAATATTTTTTTAATTATTATCCGATTAATATTTCTTTAGCTGAACGCAACCTTAGTGTTTCTCATCTTTCTTCTGCCTCTGGAATTCCACAAGAATATAGTGAAGTTATGATGGAAATGTTTTTTCTGTCAGTGAAAGTACACAAATCAAACGAGTGCATGTGGTATTGGTTTAACAAATATTTGGTTGCATCTGGCTTTCGTGAAATATTCAAACAAGCAAACTATTCCCCAATCTTATTGAGGGTGGCAATTCACCAATGGAATAGTGTAGACACTAATTTTCGTCGACATATTTTTTTTCCTTTATATGTACCTACATATTTATATATATACATATTTTGAAACTACGTATATAATATATAGTTTTTAATAGTTTTAAAACTATATAATATATAGTTTAAAAAAAAATTTAGAAATATATATAATATAATTTTAAAATCATTTTGAAAACTTATATATATATAGGTTTTGAAAACATTTTTGAAAACATATATATTATAGTTTTTAAAACATTTTTTTTAAATATATATTATATAGTATTTTATTTTTTATTTATTTCTTGTTTATTATTATTTTCGTTTATTTATTTATTTTTTAGGTCTATCATTAAGGTTCAATCAGTCCAGGATTAGGGCCTGAACCAACCAGTAAAGGTTTAGGGTTCTATCATTAAGTCCAGCGCCGCATGAATCATAACCGTCAGATCGAGATGGGATCAATGGTCAGGATTGCAAAATAACAAGGGTTTGTCTAACCTTAAATGCACAGCCAGATCCAGACCGTTGGATCTGACCCAATCCAACGGTCGAGATCAAATCCGGGAAGGTACCAGAAGCCTCAACGCCACACACACTGGTCACCGAGATTTTCGGCCGAGGAGATCGGGACTGACCCATCCCGAATCCCCGGCCAACAACCACGATGAGCACCGTGACAATCGGAACCCAGGCCACCGGTGGGGTATAAATACTCCCACCAAGCCATTGCCAAAGTGGAGGACGACAAGAAACGAAACCAAACATAGAGATCATTGGCCAAAACAGAGCCAAACCACCATCACGGGCATCAACCGTACCCAACTTCAACGTACAACAGATAACCCAAACCACACAAAACCAAAACCATCGTTCGAGAACAGAGAGAACCGAGAGATATCAACAATACACAACCGAAGATACCAACAGTAAACAAAAGCATCAACACAAGCAAGCAAAACCCCAAAAATATCACATCAACACAAACACAAAAGACCCAGCCACACATAAAAATCAAAGAACCAACCACAAAGCCGAAGAACTTGGGTAAACAAGGGACACCGACGAGGGGTAAAACATCGAAACTTATGCTCTAGATCTACGCAACACAAGCAAGCAAAACCCCAAAAATATCACATCAACACAAACACAAAAGACCCAGCCACACATAAAATATCAAAGAACCAACCACAAAGCCGAAGAACTTGGGTAAACGAAGGGACACCGACGAGGGGTAAAACATCGAAACTTATGCTCTAGATCTACGTCGAGTCGTAGGGATTTTGGGGATTTAGGTTTTGGATTAGTATTGAGGAGGTAGAGGACGTTATTTTGGAGAGGTTTGGCTTTTTCTGGTCGTTGTCGGCGGCGGCCGGAGATCGCCTTATAGAGAGAGGCGAGAGAGAGATATCTGTTGAGGGAGAGAGTGTAAATTGGAAAATGAGAGGAGTGTGGAGAATTAGGCGTATTTTGGGGGTTTTATAGGTTCAGTGAAACGACGCCGTTTTGGGGTGCAACAAAACTACGTCGTTTTCCAACTCCCCACCCGTGTTTTCAGATTTCCCTTTTGGTCTCTTGAACTTTGTAAGGATTCATTTTGGCCCATGATTCGAATTTAGCTCTGGTTTCTATTTTAATTTTGTTTTTCAATTTTACTTTATTTAAAACGGTCCCTTTTCGTATTTTTATGATTTATTTATTCTGATGTTTTATTTTAATTTCATATATATATATATTATTTTATATACATATACATATTATTATTATTGATTATTTACTTCTTATTTGTTTCCTTTTATTTATTTTATCTTACATACATTTGGTTATTTAATATTTAATATTTTTATTTTTATTTAATTTCCTTTTGGTTTATTCTTTTATTTATTCCACTTTCATTTTTCGTTGATTTTATTATTTTATTCACGTTATTTTTACTAACATTTTTTTACTATTTTTTAGAAGAATCCCAATCGATCAAAGGTAATTAATTTAGATTGAATTTTTGAGTTTCAATTTAAATTTAAATTTTCGCAATTAAAGACAACCGATAAATTAATTGGTACTGAAAGGGCGGTTCAAGGGTGCTAATCCTTCCTTGACCGTAATCGACTCCCGAACCCGACATGTTTTTGGTACAACGCAGATCAGGTAAAATGGTATCCGACCCACCTAAATTCGTTTTAAAGTGGTCGGTGGCGACTCCCAATCCACATTTTCCAAGTCGAAGCCCAATTCCGGGGCCCAACCGAAAGACGGTCGCGACAGCTTGGCGACTCCGCTGGGGACCGGTAAGTGAGTCAGGCCGAAATTAATTTCCGGTTGTGTTTTTTAGCGAAAATTACAAGTTTAAATTTTAATTTATTTATTCGATTCTTATTATTTATCTTTGATTATTTTTTCAAATAAATAGTTGTACTAACGTTTTTTAATGATTTCAGATTTTTCAAAATTGTCATATCTAGCTCTATACCCGAGCTCCAAACCCTTTTAAGTGGGGGTGAAAGCGACGCCTTCGTGTGAATTTATTCACCGTATGGGCCTAGCAAGTAACCTTTGGGATTCATATACCTTATGCCTTCGTGTGAATTTATTCTCCGTATGGGCATAAGGGAATGTGTCCTCGAGTTTAACTTAGTCACACAAGCCTGTGATGGGTTTAGGACTAAGGGTCTGGCAAGCCCAAGGGGGCACCGGCAAGGAGAACTCGAGTAC